ATTTATAATATAGACTGTTTGTAATAGTGGTAGTAAATAAGATGTATAAGGACATAATGTGATATAATAGTCGTTCACCAATGTAGGTAGGTATAATTAATTAGATATTTCAAGACTAAAAAGTTTGTAATAGTGGCCCACCAGTGTAGGTGGGTATTAATAATAAAATATTTCAAGACTAAATAGTTTGTAATAGTGGCCAACCAGTGTAGGTTGAGATATTAAAAATAAGATATTTCAAGACAAGATATTTTGTGATAGTGGCCCACCAGTTTAGGTAGGTATTAATAATAAGATATTTCAAGGCTGTAATAGTGGCCCACCAGTGTAGGTAGGTATTTATAATAAGATATTTCAAGGCTGTAATAGTGGCCCACCAGTGTAGGTAGGTATTTATAATGAGGTATAGTAAGGTTGAATAAGATTTAATAGTGGGCCACCAGTGTAGGTAGGTATTTATAATAAGATATTTCTAGACTAGATAGTTTGTAATAGTGGCCCACCAGTGTAGGTAGGTATTTATAATAAGATATTTAAGGTTGCATAAGATTTAATAGTGGGCCACCAGTGTAGGTAGGTATTTATAATAAGATATTTCAAGGCTGTAATAGTGGCCCACCAGCGTAGGTAGGTATTTATAATAAGATATTTCAAGACTAGATAGTTTGTAATAGTGGCCCACCAGTGTAGGTAGGTATTAATAATAAGATATTTCAAGGCTGTAATAGTGGCCCACCAGTGTAGGTAGGTATTTATAATAAGATATTTCAAGGCTGTAATAGTGGCCCACCAGTGTAGGTAGGTATTTATAATAAGATATTTCAAGGCTGTAATAGTGGCCCACCAGTGTAGGTAGGTGTTTATAATAAAATATTTCAAGACTAGATAGTTTGTAATAGTGGCCCACCAGTGTAGGTAGGTATTAATGAATAAGATATTTCAAGGCTGTAATAGTGGCCCACCAGTGTAGGTAGGTATTTATAATAAGATATTTCAAGGCTGTAATAGTGGCCCACCAGTGTAGGTAGATATTAATAATAAGATATTTCAAGACAATATATTTTGTGATAGTGGCCCACCAGTGTAGGTAGGTATTTATAATAAGATATTTCAAGGCTGTAATAGTGGCCCATCAGTGTAGGTAGGTATTTATAATAAGATATTTCAAGACTAGATAGTTTGTAATAGACTAATAGTGGCCCACCAGTGTAGGTAGGTATTAATAATAAGATATTTCAAGGCTGTAATAGTGGCCCACCAGTGTAGGTAGGTATTTATAATAAGATATTTCAAGGCTGTAATAGTGGCCCACCAGTGTAGGTAGGTATTAATAATACAATATTTCAAGACTATATATTTTGTGATAGTGGCCCACCAGTGTAGGTAGGTATTTATAATAAGATATTTCAAGACTAGAAAGTTTGGAATAGTGGCCCTACAGTGTAGATAGGTATTATGATATTTCAAAACTAGATAGTTTGTGATACTGGCCCACCACTGTAGGTAGGTATTTACAATGATGTATAGTAAGGCTGAATAAGATTTTGATAGTGTGCCACCAGTGTAGGTAGGTATTAATAATGAGATATTTCAAGACTAATTAGTTAGTAATAGTGGCCTGCCAGTGACGGTAGGTATTTATTATAAGATATTTCAAGACTAGATTGTTTGTAATATTGGCCCATCAGTGTAGGTAGGTATTGATAATAAGATATTTCAAGACTAAATAGTTTGTAATAGTGGCCCACCAGTGTAGGTAGGTATTTATAATGAGGTATAGTAAGGTTGAATAGCATTTTAATAGTGGCCCACCAGTGTAGGTAGGTATTAATGATTAGATTTTCCAAGACTAGATAGTCTGTGATAGTGGCCCACCAGTGTAGGTAGGTATTTATAATAAGATATTTCAAAACTAGATAGTTTGTAATAGTGGCCCACCAGTGTAAGATTGTATAATAATAAGATAATTCAAGACTAAATAGTTTGTAATAGTGGCCCACCAGTGTAGGTAGGTATTTATAATAAGATATTTCAAGACTAGATAGTTTGTAATAGTGGCCCACCAGTGTAGGTAGGTATTAATAATAAGATATTTCAAGACTAGATAGTTTGTGATAGTGGCCCACCAGTGTAGGTAGGTATTTATAATAAGATATTTCAAAACTAGATAGTTTGTAATAGTGGCCCCACCAGTGTAGGTAGGTATTTATAATAAGATATTTCAAGACTAAATAGTTTGTAATAGTGGTCCACAAGTGTAGGACGGTATTAATAATGAGGTATAGTAAGGTTGAATAAGATTTAATAGTGGGCCACCAATGTAGGTAGGTATTAATAATTAGATATTTCAAGACGAAATAATTTGCAATAGTGGAACACCAGTGTAGGTAGGTATTTATAATAAGATATATTAAGGCTTAATAGGATTTAATAGTGGGCCACCAGTGTAGGTAGGTAATTATAATTGGATATTTCAAGACTAGATAGTATATCATAGATGGGCACCAGTTTAGTTGGGTAATAATAGTTAGGGAGATAAGGACTAGATGGTATGTATGGTTGTCGCCCACTTGTGTAGGTAGGTAATAATAATGAGATATATGAGGACATAAAATGATGCAATATTTAGCCACCAGTGTACGTAGTTAATAATTATAAGATATATAAGGACAAAGTATGATATTATAGTGGTAGATAATAATAATTGGCTATATGAATAGTTATTATAATAAGATTTAAATTCATTTAACATACATTCATATATTTAAGTTCAAAACTAAATACTTTATTTTAATCATGTAATGAGAGCTTGCTTTTTTATAAATGAATATATTGTTTGAGAGCGGATAATACAACTTTAATGACCATACACATTTGATAAGTACTTATAGTAGCTCCACTTATTACCAAAAGACTTAACGTCTTACTTAAATCATCCAATGCACTTAAAATTGAAAACCATGCAAAACTTGCCATAAAATACATTCATGTAATTACCTAAAAGTTTTTATTTACTTCTATTTCTTTCCTTTTTAATGTATACCGTTACATACCTTCTATTTTTGATTGCAGTCTATATGCAACATGATTTAGTTTCTGAAAACTGTTCAACACAATGTTATCACTATCGTGTATTTTTGTACTTTTAATAAAAGGAAAACTTGAGATTGGTCCTTGCTATATTTGTTAAAGAATGTCAATTTTTCAATTTTGCATTTATGTGTAATAAAACTGGTTCAGGATTCAACTTGTGTTTTTGTTTTTTACCATAATTATCCCTTATTTTTATTTTACAAATGTTCTTGCAAACAGGTGCATGACATATTTTACCAGGCAATATTTAGGATTGCCTATCATCCAGTGTTGACCATTTATTTTGAAGAAATATATGACAATATATTTGGATATTTTCTTAATTTACTTTGTTGTCTTTGCATTGGCTTTCCAGTATAAATTACCAGAAATTTAACTGATGACTTCATGACTACTAACCTTAAATGGTTTCTGAATCATGGGTAATAGAAAATGACAATAAAATACGATATGTGCAAATTCCTAGTAATTACTGCTGCAACGATACTATTTTATGGAGTGCATTGTCAAAGATTGCTTCACGTAATCAAGTTAGTGACTGCTACTACAATTACGATATTTTACCAAATTTATTAATGAGGATTGTGTCAATAATTTTTATTATTTATTTATCAAATGTATTATGAAAGAAACGCTTCCTGAAAGCTTCAGGTAAGTGATTGCTGCTGCAGTTATGACATTATACCAATCTTAAATAAGTGCTTCATGTAATGAGAACAGTGATTGATACTAAAATTATGACATTTTACCAAAATGATTGCTTCTAAAAAAATAGTACGTGCTATTTAACATTCATGATATATCAGATACATGAATTGCTTCATTAAATTAGGTAAGTAATTACTGCTACAATTAGTAGATTGTTCTAAATGAGTTGTTAAGGGTTGATTCATAGAAAGGGGTCAATATATGCTTATACAAATTCACATGTGAAAGTTATCAAGAGAGTTTTTCGTTGACATTCAAAGAAAAAGTGGTGTTTTTTCCCGGAAGTTCACTTTGACACAGTGGTGAATTTCTTAAGGTTTTTTTTGTAAAGCTGATGATTGAGAGAGTATATCTATCATTTTCGAATACCTGTATAGAAATATTTTGGGGACTTTGTCAGAATTTTATTCAAAAGACAAGTTTTTTGAAAGAGGATAGTGTTTGGGCATTTTGAAGATCTCCAGAAATATGTCATTATTGTAAAAGGCCTGTTTTACATTTGATACGAAACAGTTTAACATTGATTGAAACTTACACACGATAAATTTATTTAATTTGGTGTTGCATACACCTGTTTTTATTCAATACCAAGCTTACAATCTTGAATGGACTTTATCCATTATTCATTCCGGACAAGACCATTTATCACTTAAGTAAAAATTTCAAAACATGTATTGACTAATCAGCAAACAGTGTAGTCTATAATCAGACAATAGGGATGACCGGCAGATCTTGGTCTTCAATGGTCAAATAGACAGATTCTGAAACCGTCAGCAACGTCATCTGGGATCCTACTCGACTGTAATATGGATTGTCTTCTTGTGCGATCGTATTTGTGAAGTTATGCAGTCCCCAAGTGTGTGGCTAAGGTCATTGTCCCACAGCTGTGGATACGAGTCCCACCAGGGACTTGAATTTTTTTATGTGAGGAATCTATTTAGTTATCTTACAGACCGTCGGTAGTTACTCATGTGTCCGTCCGTGCCTTGACTAGTACATGTTGGGGTTCCCAATGTCTTCTTCCACCAGTAAAGCTGGAAAGTTTCTATATGACCTTTACAATGTTGGTGTGACAAAAAGAGTATTTATGCACGTGAAACAGGTAGTAAATATAGCAAATTATGTAGTGGTACAAAACATAACTCTAATTGTAGGCAATATGCAATAGTTTGAAGGACAATTATCTTAGTAAACAGAAACAAGTCTCAAGAATTTTATTTCTGGCTTCAAGTTCTATTAATCATAAGACGATCAGTGAACCGTAATGTCATATAAGAACATGCACGTTAGTAGAAAAATGTGATACTGATAAATAGTCACGTGATGTGAGGAGCCACTTGACAGGAGAAACCTGAAATATGAAAAAAAAAACATAAATGAAAGAGATAAATTAATTTATTATATACTTATAAATAAACTATATAAATATATGTATACTAAATTGTATAGCGTTGATCCGATGGTAAATATAAGTAATAGTTATAGCGACGAGACTTCTATTATATGGAAACATCATGGCCTGAGGTTACATCCGGGTCTTTTAGGCAAAATGAAGTGTCTTGATTCCTCGCCGATATAGTTGGTCCGAAAAGTTGAGATATGCCACATCACACACACATTTGCATGAATAAATTTAAGGACAAAATATTGTCAATGTCCTAGCAACTAGCTTGAAGAAATTCTAAATTTTATATAACATAGTCAGTAGGAGGACACGTGCATAATTATTATGAAGATAACGACATTTATTGTCTTGTTCGAAACTAATTTAATTGCGCAACCTTTTCGCTTTAATTGATAAAAAGGCAAAGCGCACAATTACAGAACTAATGTAAAATTGTAAGACTTACTTATTAGATTTAACGGCTACAATGCTATCTTCATCTGGGTCTTCTTTCATCGGATGAGGTTTATTAACATTACTCATATCTTTCGTCTGTGGTTCTGTCTGCGGTGTCACGTGATCACCTTCTGCGCGAGTTCGGTTCGTTTGCTCCGGTTCCAACACACTTGTTTCCTCTTCAAACGTATGCGTCACTTTTGGAATTTCATTGTGTTTGCTATTTCCATGTATAGTTTTAGGGCTGTTAAGATATTGTGTCTGTGGTTTTTCTTTGTGAGTGTAACTATTCAGTTTCTTTAATGGTTCAGAGGATGTTGACTTTGAATTTGTATTCATATGATTCTGTGACTTGCTTTGAGGATTCATTCGATGTGGTTTCTCCGTTTCGAAAATTTTCTTTGCCTCTTTAGTCTTGACTGGTTTCTTCGTTTTCACAGTTTCCTTGATTTTTTTTGGTTTCGATGTTTTCTCCGCTGCTATCTTTGCAGCTAGTTGTTCCCCTTTCTCTGTTAAAATTCTACGCGGTGACTCGCAGAGGGCTCCAATGTCCTGGCAATCTTCATAACAATGAAATATTAATCCATCTTCTTGGATAATCAAATTTGGAATTTTACCCATATCAAAATAACTCCGAAGCTGCATACGTTGTTTGTTGAAAAGAAATCTCGCATTCGTCCCTAATTCCTTCCATTTGATAATAAAGCCATTTCCTTCTAATCGCCCAAGCCAAGCGGCGTGAAGTATTTTCTTGAATTTACCTTTATGTGCTTGAAATAAGAAAAGAGATGTATATGATACAACACAGTGCTGGTATAGAAGGAATGTTTCATTTTAATTTAACAGTTTTGAGCATCAACGAATACTTTCAGGTCACAATATTAGTTCTGGACCTGCAAAAACTATTTTGATGTTTGATTATCAGCCTCCGAAAAAAATAGGGGTTTTATTGTAGTATATAACACAAGGGAGTATTGGTAAAATGTGTACATGTACAAGAATAAATGAAGGCTTCATGTTTTTTTTTTCTCTCCAGGTTTTGACATGTTCCCTCCAAAATTAAACCAATAAAACACCTTGCTGATTTACTATTATCAGAGTATTGACAAACTGCGACGTCTAGAAAAGTTATCATTCCTTGATATAAATTTGATATGAGAAATTCACAATACATGTATGTTGTACCTACACGTAACAACTTTCTTGACCTGGCTGTACTTTGCATTATTCGATATCCAGACCAAATTACCGCCTGTCTTGTGGCACGTTTTTTCCGCTTCCGCATGTGTTTCCCTGACTTGACCAATGAAGTAACAATGTTTGTCATATTCGAAATACCTTGGAGGACAGGACACTGAAACAAGAACAAATTTGATGACGTCGCATCATTATATCCATCACGTGCATCTGGGCTGCGTTTCAACGTAAGTTTTCAATAAAAAAAAACTTCATCTTTTTAGTTAAGGTTTCAGACTTTTATTCAATTCATTTACCTTTGAAAAGTTACAAAATACGACGACACGTGCTTTTAATCCGAAATGTGTAAATGTTCATCTGCATCGCTATATTCTGTGTTGGCTGATTTGGTACACTTTGCGCGTTGCGTTGTCGATAGCTAGTTATATCGTTATCGCCTTTTCGTCTTGTCGCTAGCGAAACGGGTCAAACGACACGTCGTGTCACTGTCATCTGTCATCCTGTCGCTAGCAAAAGACGCCAAATGGCGATGACGCCATGTCGCTTGGATATAAGTGTTCCTCTTTTAACTCCAAAGTTGTACTGTTTTATTCTTATCTTTGTTTTACATACGATTAGAGCATCTGTTTCTTAGTTTTATCATGTAAATTGCCATTATTATAAAATGCTATATAAAGGATATTTGTTTGTTTTGCATGTAAGATTGAAATATGATTTCACTGAGTGAACACCAGATGCAATATTTTCACGAGTGGCGTAGCCACGAGTGAAAATATAAAAGCTGGTGATCACGAATGAAACATATTTCAATCTTATATGTAAAACAAATAAATTTTCTTTTTATTTTATGCTTTTTAAGTAATTTTAAGTATTTTTTTTACTAATTTTGCCGCGTATCGTCACGCATTTTCCTTTGTGACGTCATTATATCATTAGGTCATTATATCATGACGTCACATCATAAGTTTTGAAATATAGTTCTGTTAAATTTCTCTTATAAATTTTGTTAAATGTTTAACATGATGTATGATGACATTGACTTTCTTTTCCTAAATAAGCAAATTTACGTATGACGACATTTATTTCTGCCTGTTATTCCATTTGGTTATGATTTTCTTTTCATCCGCATTCAGATATAGTCCGACTACAGTGAAAATTATATTTTATAAATTTCACTAGTGGTTTATCAGAATATAATCATCTGATATATTGTAATAAAACACTGGAATGCATGAAATAAATAGAGGATATTTGTTTGTTTTGCATGTAAGATTGAAATATAATTTCACTGAGTGAACACCAGATGCAATATTTAATATTTAAATATAATAGCTGGTGTTCACGAATGAAATATATTTCAATCTTATATGTAAAACAAATAAATGTTCTTTTTATTTCATGCTTTTTAAGTGATTTTTAGTATTTTTTTTTACTGATTTTGCCGCGTAACGTCGCGCATTCTCCTTTGTGACGTTATCACATCATGACGTCACATCATCAATTTTGAAATATAGTTCTTTTAAATTTCTCTAATTGTGTTACATTTTTAAAATGATGTATGGTGACATCGACTTTCTTTGCTTAAAGAAGCAAATTTTACGTGTGACGGCATTTATTTCTGCCTGTTATTCCATTTAGCTATGATTTTATTTTCATCCGCATTCAGATATAGTCCGGCTACAGTGAAAATTATATTTTATAAATTTCACTCGTGGTTTATCAGAATATAATCATCTGATATATTGTAATAAAACACTGGAATGCATGAAATAAATAGAGGATATTTGTTTAGTTCAGTGTAAGATCGGAATATATTTCACCGAGTGAGCACCAAAAGGTATATTTCACGAGTGGCGCAGCCACGAGTGAAATATGAACTTTTGGTGTTCACAAGGTGCAATATATTTCGATCTTACACTAAACTAAACAAATTTTCTTTTTATTATATGCAAAGAAACGTTTTAAAAAGACATTAAACCTAATACTGAATGAATAGCGCGCCAAATAATAATATAAAGTGACGTCATTTACGACGTCACGTCATTAAGTTGGTACCCAGTACTGTGCACGCTGGTATTTCACTGAAACAACGTAAGGGGCTTAAATTCAAAACAGTGAAATTATCAAAGTGGTAATTTCACTGTTTCAAACAGTGAAATTACCAGTTTTATATCACGGATATATTTCTATAAACCACCGAAAACCATGTAATAAATATAGTTATGTGCTTTACACATTTGTAGTGTCCTGTAATTCTGTATAGAATGATATGTTTTTATGTTGTATTATATTGTACCATGTATATAGATGAGACTTTGATAAATAAATAAATAAATGGATAATTTATATACAAATAGCCAATCCTTTGATTTTAGCCGAGCGACAATGTGATATCGCAACAACACGCCGCACGACAACGCACCGTTTGGTGTGAATCATCAGCGGCATGACGACAAGACGACGCACAAAAGTGTTCCAAATCAGCCACCTTTGTTTCAGAAATAAAAGAGTCTTAACATAAGCGTCATAAGTTAGGACATTCTCTTTGAAGCGAAAATTGTCTCACTTTGTGATATGAGCCGTGTCACGACAAAACCAACATAATGGGTTTGCGACCAGCATGGATCAAGACCAGCCTGCGCATCCGCGCAGTCTGATCAGGATCCATGCTGTTCGCTAGCAGTTTCTTTACTTGTTATAGGGTTGGTAAGCGAACAGCATGAATCCTGATCAGACTGCGCGGAAGCGAAGGCTGGTATGGATCCATGCTGGTCGCAAACCCATTATGTTGGTTTTGTCATGACGCGGCTCATATATTTTAGACTTAGAACTTTCAATGAATCACAAGCCATGTCTTTCAATTTACAGCTTGTTTAAAGAGACTTCACTGAGTTTTTTTACATGACAAGAACAAGATTTATGTTCCAGTTTTTGTAGGTCTTAACCGATAATTTTTGTGTAAAATTTCAGATCATTCGCTCACTCCACTTTTCAAGAATATTTATTTGATTGCGAAAATGATCAAAGGTGAAAAGTGTTGCAACGTTAGGCACTCATATTGGACTAAGACTTATACAAAGAATTTTTTTTTATTTATTTTAGAGAATATTTCTTAATTATCTTTTGCATAGTTTTCTGACTTCAATGCAAAAACTGATTTATGTAAGGGCTTCGGATATAATTTGAGCCGCGTCATGACAAAACCAACATAATGGGTTTGCGACCAGCCTGGATCCAGACCAGCCTGCGCATCCGCGCAGTCTGATCAGGACCCATGCTGTTCGCTATCAGTTTCTCTACTTGTTATAGGGTTTGTAAGCGCACTGCATGGATCCTGATCACAAGGCCACTTTTCCCGTTACAATAACGGGTACTGCTTATTCTTTTTAAAAAGTGTTATAACAGAAAAAAATATGTTCACGACTTTGTTTGGGAAAAAAGTAACATTTTTTTGACCTACTTTAACCTTTGTGCCACAATTCTACAAGCGCAAACCCTCTAATAATTTTATCTGACCAATTGTTTTACACTAATATATGCCGACATTTTAATGTATATGTATATGTATAATTCAACACAATGGTTCTGTGTAAGCGATAGTATATAAAAGTGCATTAATTAAATGCATCGGAAAATAAACGTAAAGACTAATAGTTAACCACAGATATATTATATGTTATTTTGGTTTTGGAGTGATATATGTGGATATATTACCTGCTAAGATTTTATATCGCCCGAGCCGTTAGGCTCCTCTAAAACAAAACCAAAATAACATATAATATGTATCTCCATGAGTAAACAAATATCTAATGTGGTGGGCTGTAGAGTAAAATGTCCAATCAAAACTTACGTTTGGCTCCAACAGGCGGAGGTGGTGTTGGTTTAAGACTGGACGGTGGAAAAGGCGTGTCCTCTATAAAGAAGATAAAACCGTTTGTAAAGTCATGCTTATACGATCTTATGAAACAACATATTTATTTAAACACAAAATTTTCCTATCTTAAAATTGCTTATAAAATATTATGAATTTTGTAAACTTTACTCTTAAGTTGTAAACAATTGAAGCGTCGTGATAATATTTTCAAGGCATATTCTAGGTTTTTGCTGTATCTAAGTATTGATTGTAAGCTCATTAAAAGCACAATATATGAAGACTTTCATCTAGTCAGTGGTTCTATATAAACACAGTTAAACCAAATTGTAGAAATTCAGTTCTATACAGGGTTAATTTCTGCGACTAAAATAGGCTTTGAATCAAAGGACATACAAAAAACGTAGTTCCTACCTGCATCAACGTCATCCGGTAACATTACGTTGGTGCTTTCACAAATCATGTAGTATGACTTAGAACACTTTTCATACCGCCACTTGGCCGTGACGTAATTAAAAACTACGCAATGTTCCCCCGGTTTAATGGCTACTTCATTCGTAGCCTCTTTATCAACCTTAAAGCCTCTGGCCCTCCATTTACCGTCTTTGATATCGGAGATCCAAACTTCTTTGAACGTTTTCGTTATCTTATGGCCCTGGCCACTTCCATGCTGTACAATTTCTGAAATGTATGTATTAATATTGTTATAGTCACTGTATTCAGGGCTGGGAATCAGAACTGCGTCGTATCCTACAAAATGTAAACAACGCCGCCATCTTGGAAGGAAAAAGGTATGTTTTTATTTATAACTCTTTTTGTTGCAAATGATTGAAAACCAGATATATGCAACATTTTCTGCTTCTTTCGGTATAATATGTTGCTCATAGGCACGATCGAGTCATAATTTACATTATTTTTATTTTTAAGACGAACACAGGTTTTTTTTATCAATTCTGGTCATATTTTTTCTTTCCAGGTCCGATACTCGTGCCTGTGATGTTGCTTGTACATACATTTTGAAAAAACAAAAGTTATAGCGAACTTGAAGCTCGGAAGAATTTTTATGAAGTTTTGTGGATACGACGCAGTTCATATTGCTTTATCTATCGTTTTTTCCTATATACTCATTTCAGAGTTAACCATTAACTTCAAAATATAATTTTGCATCATTATTAAAATTCCATTAAAAAGAGATGTTTATTTCTCTCTCCCCCCCCCCCAAAAAAAAACCCCCCAAAAAAAACACACACACACACACACACACGCACGCGCGTCTTTTCAACATTTCAACAATGATAATTTTGGCAATGTACGTCTGTTTTACCGAATAATCACTTGCGCTTGATAAAAATCAGATCATTCACTGTTTATTGCTTTTGAATATTAAAATACGTTGTTTCAACTCCAATATAGCATTTGTTTTGAAAGTTTACTTTGCGGAAGCTACTTTTAAGATAAACATGAACATATTACTTATTTTAAAATAATACCTGAAAAATATCTTATATTTTCATGTTCGTGAAGTACGCGGGCTAACGGGCTGACAGTCTGGCGGGCTAACAATGTGAACTGGGCGGGCTAGCAGTCTAGCGGGCTAACAGTGTGAACTGGGCGGGCTAGCAGTCTAGCGGGATAACAGTGTGAACTGGGCGGGCTAGCAGTCTAGCGGGCTAGCGGTGTGAACTGGGCGGGCTGGCGGCCAGCGGGCTAAAATCTAAAACTGTATTGATTAAACATAAAAATGTTATGATACATTACCTGGCAATGTGAAGTGGGCGGGCTAACAGTGTAGCGGGCTAGCAGTGTGAACTGGGCGGGCTGGCGGGCCAGCGGGCTAAAATCTAAAACTTTATTGATTGAACATTAAAACCTCATGATACATTTCCTAGCAGTGTGAATTGGACGGGCTGACAGTGTAGCGGGCTAGCAGTGTGAACTGGGCGGGCTGGCGGGCCAACGGGCTAAAATCTAAAACTTTATTGATTGAACATAAAAACGTTATGATACATTACCTGGCAGTGTGGAGTGGGCGGGCTAACAGTGTAGCGGGCTAGCAGTGTGAACTGGGCGGTCTGGCGGGCCAGCGGGCTAAAATCTAAAACTTTATTGATTTAACATTAAAACCTCATGATACATTTCCTAGCAGTGTGAATTGGACGGGCTGACAGTGTAGCGGGCTAGCAGTGTGAACTGGGCGGGCTGGCGGGCCAGCGGGCTAAAATCTAAATCTTTATTGATTGAACATAAAAATATTATGATACATTACCTGGCAGTGTGAAGTGGGCGGGCTAACATTGTAGCGGGCTAGCAGTGTGAACTAGGCGGGCTGGCGGGCCAGCGGGCTAAAATCTAAAACTGTATTGATTGAACATAAAAATGTTATAATACATTACCTGGCAGTGTGAAGTGGGCGGGCTAACAGTGTAGCGGGCTAGCAGTGTGAACTGGGCGGGCTGGCGGGCCAACGGGCTAAAATCTAAAACTTTATTGATTGAACATTAAAACCTCATGATACATTTCCTAGCAGTGTTGAATTGGATGGGCTGACAGTGTAGCGGGCTAGCAGTGTGAACTGGGCGGGCTGGCGGGCCAACGGGCTAAAATCTAAAACTTTATTGATTGAACATAAAAACGTTATGATAAATTACCTGGCAGTGTGAAGTGGGCGGGCTAACAGTGTAGCGGGCTAGCAGTGTGAACTGGGCAGGCAGGCGGGCCAGCGGGCTAAAATCTAAATCTTTATATATTGAACATAAAAATGTTATGATACATTACCTGGCAGTGTGGGCGGACTAACAGTGTAGCGGGCTAGCAGTGTGAACTGGGCGGGCTGGCGGGCCAACGGGCTAAAATCTAAAACTTTATTGATTGAACATAAAAATGTTATGATACATTACCTGGCAGTGTGAAGTGGGCGGGTCAACAGTGTAGCGGGCTAGCAGTGTGAACTGGGCGGGCTGGCGGGCCAGCGGGCTAAAATCTAAAACTTTATTGATTGAACATAAAAACGTTATGATACATTACCTGGCAGTGTGAAGTGGGCGGGCTAACATTGTAGCGGGCTAGCAGTGTGAACTGGGCGGGCTGGCGGGCCAGCGGGCTAAAATCTAAAACTGTATTGATTGAACATAAAAATGTTATGATACATTACCTGGCAGTGTGAAGTGGGCGGGCTAACAGTGTAGCGACTAGCAGTGTGAACTGGGCGGGCTGGCGGGCCAGCGGGCTAAACTTTAATACTTAATTGTATCAACATGAAAACCTGATGATATATATTTCTTAGAAGTGTGACAATATGAAAACCTCATGATACATTCTAAGAAGTGTGAAGTGGGAGGGCTGGCGTGTTCATGATTCATTAACTGAAGTCGGCGTTTTTATCATGGCAAAGAAACAGGCACAGTTATTACAGGACTTACAAAAGGGTTAAAACCAAAACCTTTGTACCCGAGCCAACTTGTGGCGAACTGGTTAATATACCGGACTCTCAGTCCAGGGGCAGAGATTTTTCTGGGGTCACTCCTGTCAAATATTCCGTATTGAATTTAAACCATGGTCTCAACCAACCAGGGATGGTTATGGAACTGTCATCTTTTGTTTTAATAGCAAAATCTAGACATTTTTAAAACTCCTTACCCCGGCAGGCTGAAACAAACTACGGACATTAACACTTAATTTTAGTGCTTTGACCGAGTATACTCAGCCTTTGCGAACATCGTAGATCTACATCAGTCGGTGCGCATTCGCGCCGTCTGCCAAGAATCTACACTGTTTACTGCCCAACCACTGAGTATGATTCTAGTATCCAGGCACCGAACATTGTGGAACCTGATCAACCGGCTCTTGTTAGCGCCTATTGATATAACTCAAAAACGAGAACGGTGACCCCACATTCTTTTTTGCTTAAAATGTTTCTGTTATCATATTTTAACAACATGCCAAGTTTAAAGAAATTCTATTGAACAGTTTTAATTTTGCCTATATGCCTATATGAAAACTCCCGAAAACGTCATTAAGGGTTAAAAATAAAATATCAACCAAAAGAGTTTTTATCGTCTTTTTATTAATAAAAAGTTTCTGCGCCGATGGCAACAGTTGCTTCTCTGTGATCAAAACTCTGATTTTCATTTTTTCAATACGGGCGTTGACAAGAAAATACAAGAAAATGCGAGTTTGTTATCGTATTATATTTTCAATTTGATAGAACTTATGCTGCGCTTCGCGTGGCTTGCAATAAGTTCCATAAAATTAAAAAACTAAACAATAACCTATACTTATAACAATCTCAAATATTATGCAAAAGTTATTTTTCAAAAAATATTAAGAAATGTCAAGGAACAGTATTTGTGGTTAATAAACCTTTCGAAAATTTCGAAATTTTTCACGAGCTTATGCATTCTTACTGACAACATGCAACATAAAAATATTTCTGAATACATACACAAGCCAACAAAGTTTATGTATCGTGGATGTGCATAATACATTAGTTCAAACGAATGAACAAACATAAAAATCATTACATGAAAAACGTTAGATAATTTTCAAAAATATAAAAATGAATGACAATTGTTGAATAAATATTGTCAAACATATTGCAAATTGTCCATTTATATACTGAAAGTAACTTAGCGTTTGATGCTATGGTAATTCTTTGTTGTTCTTAGGTGTGGGCCTTAAAATGATTTTAGATTTTCGAGAAAAAATACAACAACATAATTTAAACAAGAAATCAATAATACAGTCAAATCAAGATAACTTGATCAAATTTGCCATGCATATAGATTAATATACCTTGAATGAAAATATTGTATGCATGATTACAACATATGAGAGAGACACATAAACTAAATGTATTTATTAGAAGCAAAGATAACCCTAATTCTGATATAACTAGCATTAGACAACTGTCATTCATTTCTGGATGACACTCGAATAGACATTAGTTAAAATAAGAAATTACTTGCCCATAAAGGTTAAAAGCTATAAAACATGCATATGTGCTACAAAATCAAATATTTTCAACCTATAGGTAAACGATGATATTTGTCACACTGCTATCCCGCTACACTGTTAGCCCTCCCACTTCATACTGCTAGGAAATGTATCATGAGGTTTTAATGTTGATTCAATTAAGTATTAAAGTTTAGCCCGCTGGCCCGCCAGCCCGCCCAGTTCACACTGCTAGCCCGCTACACTGTTAGCCCACCCACTTTACACTGCTAGGAAATGTATCATGTGGTTTTAATGTTGATTCAATTAAGTATTAGAGTTTATCCCGCCAGCCCGCCGCCCAGTTCACACTGCTAGCCCGCTACACTGTTTATCCCGCCCACTTCACACTGCTAGGAAATGTATCATGTGGTTTTAATGTTGATTCAATTAAGTATTAAAAGGTTTTTCCCGTTGGCCCGCCAGCCCGCCCAGTTCACACTGCTAGCCGCTACACTGTTAGCCCGCCCACTTCACACTGCTGAGAAATGTATCATGAGGTTTTAATGTGGATTCAACTAAGTATTAGAGTTTAGCCCGCTGGTCCGCCAGCCCGCCCAGTTCACACTGCTAGCCCGCTACACTGTAAGCCCGCCCACTTCACACTGCAGGTAATGTATCATAACATTTTTATGTTCAATCAATAAAGTTTTAGATTTTAGCCCGCTGGCCCGCCAGCCCGCCCAGTTCAC